AAGTCGAGTTTTGAGTGTTGACTTCGTTGTCTGTGAGTGTTGTTGAGTGTTGACTTAGTTGTTTTCAACATCAGTGTTGTCTAGCTGTTAAGCTAGGCTGGATCAATCATGACACTCCACATATCTCCACATCATGACACTCGCACAACAGACTGAGCCGGGCTCCCCGGACCGCGTTCGTCACGTCGGCCATGACGCACTGCGTGAGGTCGAAGTTGCGGTTGCGCTTGGACTCAGTGGCTTGGGTGAAGAATGAATCACAGTTGACAAATGCTGATAATGCTGATTGGATTTGAATTCCCACAGCAGTTTGGAATCCAGTCAAAGGAGCCAAACGAGCTTTCTGTCCACCAGGTGCCTGTCTTGAGGTTGGACAGCAATGTGTTAAAAGCTTTCGTCATGGGAGAGGATCCCAAGGCAAGTCGGCAAGTGCCAAGGCTTTTGTTTGCTTTTGCAAATGACAAGCCAATGCGGCAACAACTGGCCATCCATGCGGATCTACTCTACTACCTACAATCCTACATACTCACCTGTACATACCTGCACGATCCTGCCCGGGTGCCAAGACACCGTGCGGAGCGCATCCACCTTGGCGATGGTCTCCACGGTGGGCGCGGCGCCAGCAGGGACGAAGGCTTGCCAGTTGGGTGGCAGGGGGTTGGCGTCGGTGACGTGCAGCAGGGCGATCCAGTCCTGATCGACACATGGTAAATAAGCAGCACTGGCATAGTGGAGATTCCAAGTGCATGGAGGAGACATCACAAGGACCAGCCAATGAAATACTTGGATATAGATCTTAAATATCTTCCTAGGTAAATGCTCGCATATGCTGCATACCACAACTTGCCCATGGGCTGCTTGGAAAGAGTTCACTTGACAAAAAAAGACCACCTACACTACACAGCGGTGTGAGCGACAGCCCAGAGCCCTTCGCCAAGCCCTTCACCTTGTTGAAGTCGCAATCCTCCTTCACAGCTGCACCAACCTTGGCTGCAGCGGTCTTGCAGGGCTTGGCATTAGGGTGGGATTCAAAGAAAAGGAGTATGACTATGACTTGAACTGCCTGTGGCCTGACAACATCTCACAACCCTGATGTGGCTCCGGGGGGCTCAACATTGGGTCAGTGTGGGTTAGCTTGCCAATCCGCACAAACTGAAGAGGGATGGAAACAGATTCAACTGTGGAACGGGGGGACACCCACAGCGATGTGGCTAAACAACTGACTTGTGCGACTCGTAGGGAATGAGGGAATGGATGTAAAGGCGGAATCTCTATTGGGAGCTCATTCCCTTATTCTGTGCTAGACAAAGACTGCTGCCTCCAACGGTTTCAGATCAAGCTGCGGTTGCCATCTCACCAAAGTTCGCCATGAGGGCCGTCCAGTCTCCGGCGCACAGGGCACCCGAGTTGACGGCGGCACCACAGGCGTTAGCGGCGAAAGAGAGGTAAGAGGCAATCCAGGTGATGGAGGTGATGAACCCTGCCACACCTCAGCATGTTGGATGTTGAGAATGCAAACAAGATCGGGACACGGGACATGGTTTTCAGGGGAGGCCATTGGAACACACTGGTGGTAGCAGGACTTCGGTGATATCTTGCTTGCAATCTCAGGCAAAAGAAAAGGATGCCACCTTTCCGAGACTGAGAGAAACACGTTTGGCTCAATACCCATACATCATTTCTTACAAGATCTTACAGCCTCTCAAATTCTCAAGTTGGCACATGTTGACGCGGGCAACAAGGACAATTTGGTAGATGATAAGACCTGGCTGGTCCTAGATCTTAAGACCTTGTAATGGAGACCCGTGATTAATAAAAATACAAGATTTGGAGATGTGGATTGTAAAGTTCTTCATAGGTGGTGCTGAAATATCCTCCAGTCTACTGCATCACTTACTTTTGAGCCAAGTGGCTGGCAGCGCAGCCCACTGGGGAGTTGTTTGGGCACTTGAGCCCGTCGTAGTCAATGGCCTTCAAATTGCTTCAGATTCTCTTTGAAGAGGCTAAACTTCCGAAAAAATTGTGGTTGCCGCCCATTCTGAATGAGTTTCAACAGCGTTCGACACCTTTGTGGCAGCGCCGATCCCAAGTCTTTCTCTGGAAAGGCTGTCTTTCTCCAATCATCGAGCCTGGCCTTGTACAGGAAGACCACTGCCTGTCCCAAGTAGGCGGCGCCCTGCACAGGTTGGTTCAATCTGTTTTTGCATGTTCTAGCCAATGGCAAGAGCCTCCCTGCCCCCACATCCTCTCAACTTGCTGGCCTGAACCACGTCGATCACGCACTCGGTGCGGATCCATGGCAATTCCTCCGGCTGGGACTCGTAGAACAAGTCGTTCAGATTCCGCAGGGGCTGCTTCAGCTCGAGGGCTCAGCGGGCCAAGTTTACATCAGTTGTGAGTGATGTACACCCCACCCTAATTATCTTATTTCGATTTTCATGCTTCACGTGGCCCGTGATCACAAGCAACTTTCAACATATATATATATATATAATTCAAACCTCTTAGCAACAAACCCATGTACACGCCTCGTTACACGCCTCGTTACACGCCTCGTGTCAGCCAAGACTGTCAGGCCCCCTTCCGTCCATCCCTCACCCCTTCCGGTCGCAGTTCCGTTCCGTCGCCGCCCTGAGAGACGGACGGTCCGATCGTTCCGATCGCTCCGTTTCGAGTCGCGAGGCGATCGGAGCCCCGGTTCGAGTCGCGTCCCTTCGTAGGCGGCCTTTCGTTGTATCTGTTGTTTCCGCATGGATTCCGCTCACTTTATGTTGTATGACGTTTGGAAGCACCCCTAGAGGCCCGTAGCCATAATCTGGCCGCAGGTGATGCGGCGACCGAGTGTCTCTTTGCGTTCTCGATGACCTTGTCGATTCCAGGGATTTCCTCCCAATCGTTGATGGTCTGCATCACACTGGATGTCCTCGTCAGCACCGAGGACTGGATATAAATCTTCACCATGCTTTTGGCGAAAAAGGCACAAGTTCTTGATAAGGCCTACTGAAGCCTACAGGTCTCAAAAGCATGTTCCAATTCTATGCTAAGGTGGAGGCCATGCAGGCTCTTGCGCAGGCATGGTCTTGTATGCGAACGCTGCACAGCCCACCTCAGGTTGAGAGAGAATCCGCTTTAAGGACGGGAGCAATAATCAATCGATATCAGGATACTCTTGTCAGACACTCTTGTGGCACAGTCATGTGGGACGCTCGCACAATGATTCCAGGTTAAATTTACAGTGTCATTCCATGAATGAGTGTTCAACCATGTTCAACCCCATTTCGGAAGGGCTAGGAAAACCCTGCGGCCCGAGCCACAAGAGCCAGCACAACTACAGAGCCCACTGCTTTCCACCGCCAGCTTGAAGGGGTAGCAGGTGCCTGTGAGAGTCTAAGCATAATCAAAAAGAATCAAGTGACACTGTACTTCGTCCATATCGTGTCATCTTGCTTCTCAAATGCTGCGCTGAAAAGTGCAAAACAATTGAGCGAAAACAGCTGCCAGACCTCTGGCACTTCCACCAACAGCTCTTGAGCTTCTTCCATGAGAACGGCTGAATGAGTGCTAGACATTGCGATCTGAGAAGACGAGATCCAGGGTAGTTCAGCCGTCTGTGAGCAGAGGTGCTGCAGAAAGAATGCATTCAGATTCCAAATCGCCAACAAGGAGCTGGTGTTCATCCAACGTCAGAAAGTTGCATAGATAGCTCCGCTCGCGTTTCACGTACGTTTGTTCTGATACTCCCTTGCTTGATGAACCTCAAAGTAATGCTGAAAGTAGTGCAGCAGTGCAGCCTCTGTTTTTCTTTGCAAAGCGCTTGTACGCCAAGCAGGACCCTTCCCAATCACTTGGTGAAAAGGGGGCCAAGCAACCTGCTTGATGTAAACGAAGGGCTTTCGGCTGGTTGCCGACGCCAGTTTGGCAGATAGGATCCCAATGGTTAAGGCCACTATGTAATGCTTGATAAAGATATGGTATAGTGTTTATATATTGGTGAATAGACTGGGAGTAGCATTGTCGTTTAAACAAAAATCACTGGGTTCACTACTCTCACACCAGTCACAAGCATCAAACGATACTGCATATCCACATATCCAAAAGCTGCAAGAAATTATGGGTCATTTTGCTAGGCTATATATCGTGCCATCACCGCTTGTAGTCTTGCCCTGAACTTGATTGGATTGGGCTTGTTGGTTCCCCATAATAGATATGTTCCTTTCTGAAACAGTTCCACCTACAACCTCTATGCTGCGCAGTGCAATGAACTAAAGCTTACTGGAGCTCACAAAAGACTGTGCACGCCTCCGAAAGGTTTCTGGGATCCTGTTGGAAAACGTCTGCCGGTGCAACTCCATTGCTTTCCAACTCGCCGGTGGCGATGCAGATCAAAGAGAGGCTTGATCAAAATTCCGGAAGGTGCCGCGGCCTCCTGCACGAGATGCTGTCATGCAAACGGGTTTGCCCTCGCAATGCCTTCTGGACAAATGGAACCAACGGCAAGCCCCGGACTTAAAAATAAAATTGTGCACAAAAATGGCACATGGTGTTCCGGGTTGATGGATCATTAAGAGGAAATTTGCACGGGGGTATGTTTAATATGTTTTAATATGTTTCATGGACACTGTCTGGCATGCGTCATAATCTGACATGTATACCCATGCATGTGAATGTCACGTGTAACATATGTTTTTAAAATTAAGGGACGTTAAGGGACATTGTAGAGACTAGCAAATGGGCGGATCAACTCCAAGATTGCAAACCACTACAACTACAGTACTCAACTCGATGTGCTTCTCCGTCCAGCGTTCTCCCAAACTCCCCATCCCTACCTGTGAAGGAGCGCCTTTGTGGCAACCGCGGCACCACAATCTTGTCCTGATGCTGGCATAGATACAAAGGCACTCCCACTCTCCACTTGTATGTAAATGCAAACAGTCCAACTGATCTGTAGTCAAAATTACCATCCAGCAGACTGTGGAAGTGCTGTTCTTGGCTCCTCCGTCTTAGTCCATTGGAAGATGCTTCTCCTCCTCCACAGGGTCGGGCATATCAGCACAATCCTCGGATGCCAAATCTTGCACGAAAACCTGGGCAGGATGACTGGATCAACTGGATTGCTTTTGCTGATGGCTTCTATTCTGATCTGATTATGTTATGCAGGGATCTTGGGCATATCCCATTCACTGCAACAGTGGATGATGATGGTTAGTAAAGTGCATAAAGACCTTTCTCCAAATCTTGCACAGATCATTGTGGTTTCAGATTTGCTACGAGGCCTTCTGAACCATTTCCGAACCAACTTCATGCACTTCACCAATGCATGGGAGGGTAGATGGCACAAGGACCTCCATCTGTCCAGGACAGGTAGGGGGTTGTGCCATCTACTCTGAAACCACAGTCGTGTAGACTCTTGATTACATTTCAACCCCCCGCCAGTTGGATGGTGAAACCTCTTCATAGGGGTGGCTCAAAGCGAATCAATGGATTGGTTTAAGTCCACAGGAATGTTGGAGGCCATCGCTAGAAGAGTGGAGGCCATCGCTCTTAGGTTGGAGGCCATCGCTCTTAGGTTGGAGGCCATCTCTAGTAGGTTGGAGGCCATCGCTAGTACTTTCCTTTTTTCCAGCCTTTCATATGACGTCTCACACCCTCTCGCCCAGCTGCAGAGGTAGTTGCAATGCCCGCCGCAGGGCCGTTGGTGACTGCCGCCACCATGTCCTCAGTCCAGGGCTTTCAAGACGGATCCTTCCGAAGGCTTGGAGGGCCCAAGCGTACCTGGAACGTCCTCACTATCAGGTGACAAATAACTCGATATACACATCATGTGAGCTATCGATGTCTATCTGATCTATTGAATCTATTGAAGTTTTGCTACTTGAGCTGAGGCACAGAGATGTCCGCGGCACAAAGTGCCTTCTGGCTTCCTGAGCAGGCCCAATAAAGGCTCGAGCAGATGGTGGGAAGGCTTGAGCAACCCTGTGAAATCTCGGATGGCTTTCACATAAATGTCGTTCAGGCTTGAGCAACCTTGAAGTCTATTCAGTGAAAGCACCAGAAACTGCAGCCTGGGATTGCCAAAACGAACACGGGCTGCCCGGGCTGCTCGGTCACGACCTGACACGATGCCTGGACTGCCTCTGGGACCAATGCCAAGGGTCCCTTCGTCCAGCAGTCGGAGACGGCCAATGCCCTGAGGTGCCACATGGAAAACAGACCGGCCCACTGGTACAGAACTTTGCTGCAACTGGTGATTTACCAATCAGATTTGTTATAGCTTTTTTACAAGAAGCAGCCTGAAAATGATTTACCTGATCTTGATTCTAAAAAGATATAGCCGAAAGGAGTTGCATGTCCTTGGATGCATCATTCAGGCGTGCAAGTCTTAAGTACCAGCCAGGCGTCGTGAATTGGGAGATCCACGCAAAGGAGCTGATGATGTTCATGATGTTGATGGCGCAGGCCCTGAGAAATAGCATTCTCGCTGTGCGGGCGAAGTACAAGGATGCATACCATCCATAGAGCGGGCGATACGCAACTATACGCCCATGCATAAAGCTTTTCAGCAGCGAGGCGTTTCGGCTTTTTGGGATCGGCCCGGTGGTTTCGACCCCGTCTGGACAGTCGTCTAGACGGCGAGGAGACTCGGTGAGGACCGTCATTTCACTCAGTACGGTCCTGTGGTGCATACACCTCTACTCCACCTCTAACAGTTATGGAGGTGGAATGAGGTGGACATTTTTCTTTTTGGCCTGTTGGTAGACCATTTTCCGGGTTGTCCAATCCCATGATTGTTGAGGGGAGGGGCATCAGCTATTTGCACCTGGGGCCCCCGGCTTCGGCTCAGGGCAGGCACTGGCGGCCGAGCGGATCTGCAGAATGACACGCACAATGTAGGAGGCCTCGCTCACTCAGATGCGCTCACATCAGAGTCTGGTGCACCCAGACTCCGACTCTCAGTAAGACCATTGACTAAAGGTCTACCGCGACTGCGACGAAAGGCCCTGGACCGGTCCTCGGGGCAGTCCGAAACCCCAAGACGAGCTCTCAGCCGAAGTCAGCCGTGGAGCGAAGCCAGGATTGGAGCCGTGAAGAAGTAAGGAGTCACATTTGGAGTAACAACCCTGAAACAAACATGGAAGTCGACAATCCAAGGTTGGTCGTGGAAAATAAATACTATTCCAGGCCAGAACGTCCACTTCCATGATTGTTGGAGGGAGGGTAACAACCCTGAAGCGCTGCAGAATGAGACCAACTGAGCCGGCGGACCGCGTTCGTCACGTCGGCCATGACGCACTGTGTGAGGTCGAAGTTGCGGTTGCGCTTGGACTCAGCAGGTCAACCCACGGCGGCTTGGGTCGTGGTTGGGACTGGGAACAGGAGAATGCCCTGACTGACGGGTTTGGAATCTTGAAAGAAAATGGATGATGAAAGGAATACCTCATCTATGGTCAATCTTCATACCTATCCTATGATCCTATTTAAGTATATGATCCTCATACCGATAAATAAAGATACACTCATTTGAGGCTTAGGATGTATAAACCTTAAGGCAACCTTCATCTACTCGATTGGACGGTTCCCCGGAGACCTGAGACGATCACCTCCCGGTGCTTCAGTGGGGTGCCATATGAGGTCTTTTGTAAAGCTTTGGGTCTTTGCACGTATGGATGGGTGAAAACATGTGAAAACCCCCGTTCTCTGGGTTTTGGACGTTTTGTGGCGCCAAGCCCACATCTGCCTGCCTGCTCACGTGCACGATCCTGCCCGGGTGCCAAGACACCGTGCGGAGCGCATCCACCTTGGCGATGGTCTCCACGGTGGGCGCGGCGCCAGCAGGGACGAAGGCTTGCCAGTTGGGGGGCAGGGGGTTGGCGTCAGTGACGTGCAGCAGGGCGATCCAGTCCTGGTCGACACATAGTAAATAAGCAGCACTGGCACAGTGGAGATTCCAAGCGCATGGACCATGGAGGAGACATCACAAGGACCAGCCAATGAAATACTTGGATAAATCTGAAATATCTTACAGTCTAAGACTTACTAGGTTCAAGACTGCCGACCTGACTGCTGACTCCCAATGCGAGCTGCTCGGATACTGAGAATCACCGTACGTCTCCAGTCCACCTCTTCGACTCGTCGCACCCGCGCCGTCGCCAGTCGCCCACGCGTGGGCCGTCGCCGTCCTTGTTGAAGTCGCAATCCTCCTTGACCGCTGCACCCACCTGGAGCGAGGCCGCGCGGACGCCGTCGGCCGGGCCGCACCATCGCGGCATCGCATGGACATCGTGCGGCCATCGGTCGTGCAAACACACACCGTGAGCGCCGGACAAAAGCGGTGGTCTAACGTAGACAGTTAGGCTTAATAAGACACCCCCCGACATCCCACCGTCAAGTAGAGCTTCTTCCTTCCCCAATTGGAGGGGGGGTTGATCAATCAACAGTCCCTGGTGCGGAGATGCAGGTGTTGTGGGCGCCTTGAACGGGTCACCCACCCCCACCCGTCGGTGGTCTTTGCTGTGTCCTATCTCCACTCCATCGCCGTTATGACGTGTTCGCAGGTTCACCCGTTCACACAGGAACTTCAGTACTCCCATGTCTTCTGGTGCCATCGTCGTGTAAAAGCTCGGCCCCAAAATGATGTGTTGAACAAGATATCAGATGTGATTTTTGATTCAGCACTCTACACCAGGGAGCTTCCGGCAGGCTTTGGTTAAGATTGAAGTGGCATGCTTGCACAAATTTAGATTCTAAATGTTGTTAAAAATTGGCTGGCCTTACACTGAAAACGGCAAAATATTGTAGAGTATTTATGGTGTTGTTCTTTACATGTTGATTGTCCGCTTGTTTGCCATGTTGTTTGTCGTTGTCTTTGCTGTTGTCACTCTGTTTGTATTTTTGTCTGGCTTTTGTCATTTGATAGTTAGTTGTGTTTTCATGCAGTCGTTTTTGTTGTCGTCTTTGTCATGTTTGTGTTATGTTCGCTATCGTGTGTGTGTGTGTGTGTTAATGATCTAGTTTGTAATTTTATGTATATATGTTGTTTGGTCTTTGGGTGTGGGGTGTTTTTCTTTGCTGATGGGTGCTGTTATTTGCAGTGTATAGATTCCTTGTGTTTGTTTGATGACAAATCAAGTGACAAACAAACAACGCAGAAACACCAAATAAAAATTAACAATCTTATCATAAAGATATAAAATGAAATAGAGCAAACATAGTAAAACAATATATATAATTTGGGCACGGCCCGAAGATAGAGGGACTTCACGATTGGAACGGGGGGTGGACACCCACAGCGTTTTGGATCAACAACTGACTTGTGCGACTCAAGTAGGGAATGAGGGTGGCTGGATCCAAAGGAGTCTCTATTGGGAGCTCATTCCCTTATTCCCTACGAGTCGCAGTCAGACAAAGACTGCTGCCACCAACGGTTTCAGATCAAGCTGCGGTCGCCATCTCACCAAAGTTCGCCATGAGGGCCGTCCAGTCTCCCGCGCAGAGGGCGCCCGAGTTGACGGCGGCACCACAGGCGTTGGCCGCGAAGGAGAGGTACGAGGCGATCCAGGTGATGGAGGTGATGAAACCCGCGACACCTCCAAGAGGCCCAACTCCGGGACAGCCCAAGGGTGCGTCGAAACAAATCGAACGGCGGTGCCGGGACTTCCAACGAGTGAAAAACGGTGCCAATCGTTTGCTCAAACTGCGCACGGCGCACGAAGCAGCGAATGAGAGCGAACTTGCTGAACCGAAGAAGTTGCATCTCCGACTCACCCAGACTTGACCCAGTGTTTTGCGACAAGACAAGGTCTCCACCTTCGCGACGTGTCCTGACTGAACTTGGCATCGTGTTCTCCAATCTATTGATACAGAAGTCTTAGAAGTGCAGATCTTGTGAAGGCACAGACTCACAGACTGATCCAGACATCCGGGGGCTGTTCGCCTTAAGAATCCGGGCACCTTCAGCAACCAATAGGTGGAGAAGGCCCGACCCAGGTGCCATACGGTGTGCCCGGCAGCGGATTCTTAGGGCAGCTAGAATTGATCTCAATCCCGTTCCTATCACCTATTCCATTCCATTCCATACATCGATCCATCCATTTCTCATCGAATCTAATCCCCACAGTTCAGTTCTTGTTGCGCAAGTCAAATGAAACCCAACAAACCCAACGGATTTGGAACTCGTCTTTCTTGCATTCTGGAAGAGTCCAATTGAAGAAAATGAACCTTGCAAATTCAATCAAGACTTCGGCAAGGTTCCGGGTTGAACCAGATATTATATATTCTAAAAAATACAGAATAAGAGCCAAGTGACTTGCAGCGCAGCCGACTGGGGAGTTGTTGGGGCATTTGAGTCCATCATAGTCAATGGCCTCGGAAATGCATCAGACCATCTTGGATGAAATCAACTTGGGAATACCCTTTTAGACTATTTTTGCACTTAATTTAGCATTCTTTAGCCAGAACTATTTTGGGCGATCAACTTGTGCAAGACCACCTGATCGTCCAACCTGGCCTTGTACAGGAAGACCACTGCTTGCCCCAAATAGGCGGCGCCCTGCGCAGGTTGGCTCAGTCAGGGTCTAGCGTTTCCTCCCTCCAAGGTCCTCCTCACCAAACCCCGCCTGAACCACGTCGATCACGCACTCGGTGCGGATCCATGGCAGTTCCTCCGGCTGGGACTCGTAGAACAAGTCGTTCAGGTTCCGCAGGGGCTGCTTCAGCTCGAGGGCTTAGTGGGCCAAGTGATGGTAGGTGACGGCCGCACCCTGGGTGACGCTTTCCATCAGAATCCACCAACCATCACCATGGGTGACGCTGTCCACGTCCCCGTCATCCCAACCGGTTCGATGCTTCTTCACCCATCTGTCGGGATCCCGAAACACCCTGTCTGATGGATGACCCCAACCCCGTCCTTTCTACCCACCTCAAACACCCCCTGTCCCATGGGCCCGAGACGCCACAGCAACTGATCTGCCGATGGGCCCGATGCGACCACGCGGGCGAGCCGCCGCGACCACTCCGAGCTTCGCGAACCAGAAAAGGGCGGTTGTCCAAGCTCTATGCTGCGACCGAGCGTCTCTTGGCGTGCTCGATGACCTTGTCGATTCCAGGGATTTCCTCCCAATCGTTGATGGTCTGCATCACACTGGATGTCCTCAAGCGCCAGGACATAGAATCGAAAAAAATGATTATGAATTAAATATATATATATATAATCGTTTGGGGGGTTCTACTTCATCCCACTCGCTACTGGGCACAAGCTCTTCATAAGGCCTCAAGTGGGCCTACTGATCTCAAGTGCATCTTCCAATCCCATGCTAAGATGGAGGCCATGCAGGTTCTTCTGCGGGCATGGTCTTGTATGCGAACGCTGCGCAGCCCACCTGATGGCCATCAAACGCGAAGGGGGAACACGGACGCGGAAGAATTTCAGAAGCGATCAAACGCACCACGACCTGCTGGCACTTCAGCTCTTCATGTTAAAGTTCACAACTCATACCAGCATAGACCCCAAACAGCTTAGTGGCCAGTGTCCTTTTTCCTAAGAGAGAACTCGTGCTTCAACAGAGCCCATGATCAATTGTGAGCATTTGCTCACACAACGATTCCAAGTGTGATTTACAGTGTCATTCCATGAATGAGTGTTCAACCATGTCGGAAGGGCTAGGAAAACACAGAACGCAATCCTGCGGCCCGAGCCACAAGAGCCAACACAACCACAGAGCCCACTGCTTTCCACCGCCAGCTTGAAGGGGTGGCAGGTGCCTGTGAAAGCCCAAGCATCATCAAAAAGAATCAAGTGACACTATATTTCGTCCATGTGGTTTCATCTAGTTTCTCAAATGCTGCGCTGAAAAAGTGCCAAACAATTGAGCGAAAACAGCTGCCAGGCCTCTGGCACTTCCACCAACAGCTCTTGAGCTTCTTCCATGGGAACGGCTGAATGAGTGCTAGACATTGCGATCTGAGAAGACGAGATCCAGGGTAGTTCAGCCGTCTGTGAGCAGAGGTGCTGCAGAAAGAATGCATTTAGATTCCAAATCGCCAACAACGAGCTGGTGTTCATCCAACGTCAGAAAGTTGCATAGATAGCTCCGCTCGCATTTCGCGTACGTTTGTTCTGATAGATGAACCTTAAAGTAATGCTGTAATGCTGAAAGTAGTGCAGCAGTGCAGCCTCTGTTTTTCTTTGCAAAGCGCTTGTACGCCAAGCAGGACCCTTCCCAATCACTTGGTGAAAAAGGGGGCCAAGCGACGAAGCGCTTGATGTAAACGAAGGGCTTTTCGGCTGGGTGCCGACGCCAGCCCGTTTGGCAGATAGGATCCCAGTCAGAAACGCTGCCACTTGGATCAATGCCAGTGATGTTAGATAAATACATGATATATAAGTGCAACTATATCTGGGTATGAGTATATATATATACACATGATTATATAGTATACATGAATAGACTGGGAGTAAATGGAAGTAACATGTTCTGAAACGGAAAGAAACTGGCTTCATTGCACAGAAGCAGACATTCTGGGTCATTTTGCTAGGCTATATAGTGCCATCACCGCTTGTAGTCTTACCCTGAACTTGACTGGATTGGGCTTGCTGGTTCCCCAATCTGAAACAGTTCCACCATGTTCCACCTACAACCTCTATGCTGCGTGCAATGAACTAGAGCTTACTGGAGCTCAAAAAAGACTGTGCACGCCTCCGAAAGGTTTCTGGGATCCTCTTTGGAAAACGTCTGCCGGTGCAACTCCATTGCTTTCCAATTCGCCGGTGGCGATGCAGATCAAAGAGAGGCTTGATCAAAATTCCGGAAGGTGCCGCGGCCTCCTGCGCGAGATAATGTCATGCAAACGGGTTTGCGCTCGCAATCCCTTCTGGACAAATGGAACCAACGGCAAGCCACGGACTTAAAAATAACATTGTGCACAAAAATTGCACATGGTGTTCTACGTCCGGGTTGATGGATCATTAAGAGGAAATTTGCACGCGGGTATGTTTAATATGGTTTAATGTACATTGTCTGGCATGCGTCATAATCTGACATGTATACCATGTGAATGTCATGTATATATTGCGTTTGTAAAATTAAGGGACATTGGAGAGACTAGCAACTGGGCGTACTCAACTCGATGTGCTTCTCCGTCCAGGGTTCTCCCAAACCCCCGATCCCTACCTGTGAAGGAGCGCCTTTGTGGCAACCGCGGCACCACAATCTTGTCCTCAAGCTGGCATAGACGCACTCCCACTCTCCACTCGTATGTAAATGCAAACAGTCCAACTGATTTGTAGTCAAAATTATCATCCAGCAGACTGTGGAAGTGCTGTTCTTGGCTCCTCCGTCTTAGTCCATTGGAAGATGCTTCTCCTCCTCCACAGGGTCGGGCATATCAGCACAATCCTCGGATGCCAAATCTTGCACGAAAACCTGGGCAGGATGACTGGATCAATTGGATTGCTTCTGCTGACTGGATGATGATGATGATGATGATGACGATGACGATGACGATGATGATGATGATCATGGTTCGTAAAGACCTTTCTCAAAAACGAGTGCTCCATTTTACCGACTGTTACAGGTTTACTGGGACACACCCTAGATAGATCATGGTTGTACAAAACCCAATGCGGTCGACCTGAAGTGTCGACTTCACCCTCTCGCCCAGCTGCAGAGGTGGTGGCAATGCCGGCCGCCGGGCCGTTGGTGACCGCCGCCACCATATCCTCAAGTCGGCCGAGATAAACGTGCTGGGTGAAAAGCCTGGCACAACTTCATCGCCGCTGGCATTCATTTCAATGAAACGCACTCTCTCATAATGATGATGGTGGGTGCAGAGGTTGCTAGTAGCTTCTTGTCACTAGTAGTAATATGTAGTAATGGCCCCCAACCTAATAGCAACGGCCTCCAACCTGATAGATCTTGTTACTGGTGGCATCCCTCATCTGTCAATTGAAAAACCGAGGTGCAGAGATGTCGGCCGCACAAAGTGCCTTCTGGCTTCCTCAGGCTGAGCACTCCAGAATGATCAGGCGAACCCTTTGGGTGGAGAATAGAACGACCAAGTGAATGATAGCGGGTTCATCTTTGCGGAATATTCCGTGAAACCACCCAAACAAACCGCGTGCAGCTAAGGAAGAAAATGAAAAAAGCCTCCAGCCAAGTTGTGGTGTCCTTTTGATCAGGAAACATCAGGAAACTCTTCTCTCTCGCTCTCTCTTCTTTCTTGGGTGCACAGGTGCACAGTGTTTTGCTTGTTGTTCGGTTCTTATAAAGGTCACGTTCTACTTGGTATCATTCACGCGCATTGAACAAGCATTTGAGGCCAACCTTTCAGACATCTGCCAAGTGTCCCTTGGTCCAGCAGTCGGAGACGGCCAATGCCCTTAGCTGTAGCTTCCGTGCTGCGCAGCCTGTCTCAGAAATCTACCTCTGTTTTCTGAAGGTCTACACCTAGATCTTCCAACTATGCAAAATGTTTGCCTTTTGTTGGTTTTTTATCCCCATGCAGATTCGAGGGGTAGGTCAGCGCAGCCCACTTTAGAAGCCTAAATCTGTGGAGCCTAAATTTAGTCAAGAATCAAGAGCACAAAGAAAAGGAGAGAAGTATAGAATCGAGCTCCCAAGAACAAACAGACATGTTCCAAAAAAATATAGGCAATATATGGCTTCTATAAATTCAAGGGACCTGAGCACACTAGCCACAACAACAAAACTATGATATCTTTGGGGTGAGAGACCACATTGACATGATTCTTGACCACCTGAAATTATGATAACCCATCCAAGTGTTGCTTTTTGGTATTGAGGTTGGCATGATATTGGTTCCAATGATCAAAAACATATCCGACAATGATAAATTGGTAGTCTTCAGAGATGTGCAGAGCCAAGGACTACAAAAATTTGCAAAACAAACACATAATTAATGCGTTCTAGAATCAACTGCACAACCTCATCAAGCTTAAAATCATCTAAAATCTCTAAAGAATCAGAGGACATGCCATTTTGTTTTGACAAAAATGAAAAAATATGGTTCCCTAAAAAAATCAGCAGCACCATCCTTCTCAACATGTTCTTATGTCTTTAGTCCGCTGCTCTAAAATCAAGCACGCTAGGCTACTCTTTCTAGCTTACACTGTTTTATTCTAATTTGGGATGCTTAAGCTCCCGATTTCAGAGTGTTTATCTTCACAGGGGTGGTTTTTTTATAAATGAAAAGGATTGAAAAGGCATAAATGTTGCATAGTCGGAAGATCTAGGTATCAGCTGTCTCTTGGGACTTGGGACGTCCTCAACATCTCCGGACGACCTTCTTTGAATGGATGCCGAGCGGTATGAGCAGTCCCAGCACCCAGCCGTTGCGGAGGTGCTGCAACAACCATTGAGCATTGATTGGATTGGGTGCAGGGGGGCGGCTCAGCCGCAACATCGGACGGCTCATGCATCATGCATCGCATGCATCATGTGCCAGGCGGCGTGAATTGGGAGATCCACGCGAAGGAGCTGATGATGTTCATGATGTTGATCGCGCAGGCCCTGACAAGGATGCTTCTACAAGCAACTTTGAGAAAGCCATCAGGCATCCGTGTCCGTGTAGATGTGTTTCCAACTTCCTGGCAAGTGTACGTGATCCTAACTGCTGGAATACTGAACTCGAAATCCTTCCATCATTTGCTGGACAAAAAATATCAACAAATATCCATCACCCCTTGTACCCTGACCCTTGGGGCCGCGACTTTGGCTCAGGGCAGGCACTGGCGGCCGAGCGGATCTGCAAGATGACGCGGACAATGTAGGAGGCCTGGCCAGGGCCCCAGAGCATCCGAAGCAGTGCAAGAGTTCGACTCTGGTTGGGACGAAGAACCGACAAAACGACTGCTCTGGTTGGGACGCCAGTTCCAAGAAGACCCAACAGATTAGGTCGTGAAGAGGCAGCACGATGGTAGTTTAAGGTCAAGCAGCAACTTGGCGCGAGCCATTTCATACATGTCAGGTTCTCGATAGCTATTCAACATCTCATTAGCTCCCAAGGCTTCAGAAGGCATGACAGAAGGCTTGTGAAGATGAGGTGGGCCCACCGCGTTGGTCACGTCCGCCATGACGCACTGCGTGAGGTCGAAGTTGCGGTTGCGCTTGGACTGGGCGAAGGGAACTTGAAACTCCATGAGTCTTTGGGAGTAATGTGGTCGCTGGTAACAGGTGCATCGCTACTAGTAGCAAGAAGCTACTAGTAACAAGTGCATCGCTAGTAACAAGGACGCTACTAGTAATAGCTCCTGGCCTCGCTATTAGTAGCAAGAAGCTAGTAGGTTGGAGGCCATCGCTACTAGCCTAGTAAGAATTTCTTGTTCTTTTTTAAACTCCTACTAGGGTCAATTCAGTAAGTCGAGTCTATAGGTTCATGTCATTCTTGGACTGCTTCGACAAATCGCGAATGCTCAACAGCTGATCCGGTTGCACATGGCCTGGAACTGGAGTGTAATCACTTTGATCGGTACATGATGACTCATGTCTCAGGGCTTCCGGGCCGTGCGGAGCGCGTCCACCTTGGCGATGGTCTCCACGGTGGGTGCGGCGCCAGCAGGGACGAAGGCTTGCCAGTTGGGTGGCAGGGGGTTGGCGTCGGTCACGTGAAGCAGGGCGATCCAGTCCTGGTTGTCGGTGACATGAAGCGGCATAGCACAGACATCATTCAAATGCGACGGGAAGACTTCCACTTGACAAGGATCGCCAACAGGACACGTACAGCACCCTTAGCAAAACCTACGCTCTTGTTGAGTGATAGCCCAGCCGTCCTTGTTGAAGTCGCAGTCCTCCTTGACAGCTGCACCAACCTTGGCTGCAACAGCTGCTTGGCTTCACGAGCAGGTGGACGGCTTGGCTTCACGTTTCATGGTCTTCCGTCTTCGCGGGGCTTCGTCAAGAAAGCTGCACCAAGAAAGTGGCCCAATCTTAAAGCCGC